TCTTTGATAATTTAATTCTCCTTTATTTTTAATAGTAAGCTTAACTTGTAATGCTTGTTCTATAGTTTTGTCTTCTCCTCTTTTTGGAATCCTTTGCTTATGAACTTGAAGGGAACCCATAAGTTCTTCTAAAGATATTTTTTCCAATTCTTTAGATTCTTCAATCGCAATAGCAATAAAATCAAATTTTGGATGTAGAGATCTTAGTATTTTTTCTATTACCCTTTGATCATTTATTTGTTTGTCATTTTGTCTCATTTAATGAACAATAGAAATAATTTTTTAGAAGTAATCAGAAATAGTTTCAGAAGTACCTTGTTGTAATTTTTCAAACTCAGCTCGTAAAACTTGTAAACAGAGTTTCTTTACCTTATCAACACCACCAATGCTTTTTGAAGTATTTCCCAAGCCTCCTTTGAAGTATTTGCTAGAGCGATGATCTCGAACATTGTATCATCAAGCCCTTGGTAAATCGTGAACAAAGCATTTTTCTCTTTCTTCCTTCTTTCTTTGAGTTGTTTTCTTTCTTCTGCATTTATTGCTCCTTCTTCTGCTAGACTTGGTTCAGAAAATCCATCTTTTACAAACTCCCATACATCTTGGGAGCCTAGAAGAACCTTCATTTGGATGCACCATATATCATTTTTTTTTTTTTGTCAATCTGGGGATCTAGAGTTGGATGGTACTTGAGAAAAAGGTCATAGCTTAACCTATATTCTGATACCAAATGTTGATCTTGATAGAAAGAAAGGATAGAGATATCAAACAAAGGAAGAGTAGGACAAGCTTTCTATATTTCTCTAAAAGAAAACTAAATTCAAAAACTCTATCTGTTTCATGACCCAACATACGGGGTTTATATAGTCCCCAAAGATACATTACATTAATTGTATTCAAGAAAAATCATTTTCTTTCGAGAAATCCTTTCAGGAATCAATAACTAATTTGATTTATCAATCCAACTTTTAATCTATTTTTTCTTCTAGATGTAATGAATCTCCGCAATGAACCTTTTTTTATAACGTTTGAAAAAGTTTAATTCCAACGTACTTATCATTGCGAGCTGCGAATTACGGGTGAGACAGCCCATGTGCGGTGTATGATTTTTTTTTGTTCTTCTTATATGTCCTTCTTCCGGTTGCAAGCGAACAGCTGAATGTTTAATTATTATTACTCCCAGCTGCCACATTTTACTGTTAAAACAGCTAATAGGATTAGGTCATCGTACCGATAGTGTGTCTAGGGAAGATGAACTTGTTGGAATCTTGCACGATGATGATTCATCTGATGTGCGATTGCTGTACTATCCGCAAGAAAAGCATGCTTGCGGACTATTCTTAGATCATCGTGCATCAAATGTTTGATGCACGACTTAACAGCTCGGGGTCTTGGATCGTATTGGTGTCCAATCTCATTTACGTTAGACTGTCTTATATGATTTTAAATATAAATATAATTCATAAAATATATTTCTTTCATAACACCGAAAAGTAGGTGTAGGTGGTAGCAAGCAGATAAGAAGTCAGACACTTGAATTGACAGAAACAAGAGAGTAATTTATTTAGTGATAAGAAATTTATTTAACCTAATATCTCTCTTGTCCAATGAGGTTTCACGGGTGACAGATGATATTTTTTTATTTTTTTTTATAAAGATAAGTTACGCAAATAAAACTCGAATTCATGATCTTACAACGAATCATCAAATTTTTACTAAGTTAGCTGTTACAAAAAGGTCGCAGTGAACTACTCGAGTTTTCTTCAGTGGTAGGACGATGACTGTTGAGAAGACTGAGTCAACTACAAAGAGATAAGCTTCTTGGTAGACATAAATGGTGGGCAGATTAGTGGCTGAGAAGCAAGACAACTAAGCGAAGCTTCTCTCTCTGTAAATGTTGTCGAAGCTGCTACCTGCCCGAACCAGCCGAGCCGAGAGGTGTTAGTCTTCGTAAGCGGTGTGTGTGTGTGCGTGCTTGCTTCGCGAGATGGCCGAACCGAGCTTTCAGCGTCTGGGAACGTCCATTGACGTACCGAACGTCCAAGCTCTTGCAGCTTCCATCGCAAACCCGGCTGACGTCCCTCCTCGATACGTCAGGCAGGAAGCCAAGGCTGATCCCGTCGTTAGCGACGGCGACAGCGAGCTTCCGGTCATCGATTTCTCCAGGCTCCTCCATCACCGTTTCTCTCGGGAAGAGTCTGCTAAGCTCCACCATGCCTGTGCAGACTGGGGCTTCTTCCAGGTCAGTCGATCTACGGATCGAAATCGTGTGATCGATAGCTGCAACATAACAATCGTTGATGCTAATTAACAGTTGATAAATCACGGAGTTCCCGATCAAGCGATGGAGAAGATCAAGGGTGATATAGTAGAATTCTTTAAGCTTCCCTTGGAAGAGAAGAAGGCATTTGCGCAGTTGCCGAACAGCTTGGAAGGTTACGGCCAAGCCTTCGTCGTGTCTGACGACCAAAAGCTGGACTGGGCGGACATTCTGACCCTCATAACTCGACCACTGCAGTCGAGGAACATCGATCTCTGGCCCGCTCAACCTCTCACTTTCAGGTTTATCTCGACTACTTGCGCTGTCATCTACTCAGCGGTTTAGCTACGTACGTACGTATATGACGTCCTTTGCTGCTGCTTCATGCTGTCAGAGACTCTCTCTCTTGCTACGCCATGGAGCTGAAGAGCGTGGCAGGAACTTTGCTGGAGGTGATGACGAAGAATCTGGGGGTCGCACCGGAGGAGTTCTCTACTATATTTCAGGACCAAACGCAGGCAGTGAGGATCAACTATTATCCCCCATGTCCAAGAGCTGACGAGGTGTTGGGCCTCTCGCCACACACGGACGGCAGCGGCTTGACGTTGCTCCTACAGGTGAACGACGTTGAAGGACTCCATATCAGGAAGGGGGGGGATTGGTACCCCGTGAAGCCACTCCCCGGCGCTCTCATCGCCAACATCGGTGATATCATCGAGGTCATTAACTCGACTCAAATTAGTCAGAATCAACATATATCAATCATGTCCGATACTAATTCAATTCAAAAATAAATTATGTTTACAGATTACGAGATTCTCTCAATATTTACTAATGTAAAATTATTATTTTGATTTTTTTTCAGTCTGTTCTATAAATATTTTCTAACAAAAACAAAAACCTTTTAGAATAGATATTGAGCAACGGCGTATACAAAAGCGTTGAGCATCGGGCGATAATAAATGCCAAGAAAGAGCGCCACTCGATCGCTACTTTCCATGGGCCAAGAAAAGATTCAGTGGTTGGTCCTTTTGCAGAGATCGTGAAGGGGTGCAAGCCGAAGTATATGTCGATGAGCTACAGAGAATTTAGGAAAGCTTATTTCTCCACAAAACTGGAAGGGAGGAGGCTCATAGAAAGACTCAAGCTATAAAAGTCTCCAATGTTAGAAAGTTCATGATGTGTTGATTGAACTTGATAATAAGTATGTTTCGGGATAATATTATATAAGTATCGAATCTTTGTATATTTGAAGTGTATTGACTTAGTGTTTGTTGAGTTATTCGGATTTGTTAATGTATCGTTGCATAAGTAATAAATCTGAATGTACATTATTAGATGTAAATATTTTTTATTTTTTAAATAAATAAATTTATAAATTATTTACTTTTTTCCCAAAGAAAAAAAAAGAACCTAATAATGAAGTATAAGCATAAGAGTGGAAATAATGATAATAATTAGATTATCATCTTCACACTAACGTGAACATACCAAAATAAAAACCTCGTCCATCTATCAACCATTGATTTATTATTGGGTCAAGAAGTTGCATCATTGTGATTCCCACATTGATGAGCCCAGTAACTTATATAGTTAAGATCTTATGAGCTTGGTCAACAATCGAAGTCAATACCCTCCTAAAATAATAAAAACTTGGTGAGATGAGATCACATAGGTTGCTCGGTCAAAAGTCATTCTATTGATGAGGACTTAGTTCATGATGGTCATATGAGTGGATTAGGATCTTTATAGTTGCAAGGTTCCTCCCCGGGGGCTAGGTCATCTGGATGTCTTCCGGCAATCGATAATCTTGTATGATAAGCCAACTTTAGGGGTTGTTCGACGTGGCCTCTTCGATACTTAAGTTAGCAAAGGGAAGAAAATAACAATGTAAGTTGTATGACTGAATTAGTGTGTAAAGAGTCGCCCCCTTGATGGGTTTCTTTTTATATCTGATCCTTGGGCCTTCTTTTTGGTTGGACTGGGATTATATCATATTAACGATTTGATCATTCTGATCTCTAATCTTAATAAGATAGGATGATTATTATCATATATTGATGTAGGATGCACTACGGTGTCGTTTCGGAGCCAGTTACATGGAGCCCTACTTAGGTGTCAGTCTCTATTTAGCTCCATGGTTGCGCTAAAAGACACATCTAAGTAATTATTGTTAAAATATATTATTTTATTTTATTAGATAAAATATATCATGAATATGATTTGATTCTAATTATAATTATTGATTAATAAAAAAACTTATATTATAAAATGATTCCTTAGGGGAGACATTTGATGGGAGGAAGGAACTATGTACATTTTCTGTATCAAACATCGCAGATAAGATGTCACACACTTGGATCAATAGAAATGAGAGAGTCATTTATTTAGTGATAAGAATTTTTATAAAAATAAGTTACGAAAATAAGACTCCAATTCTTACTTTTATTTTTATAATGAATCATCAAATTTTTACTAAGTTAGCTGATACTTTAAAAAAACAAAAAAAAATTACTAAGTTAGCTGTTACAAAAAGGTCGCAGTGAACTACTAGAGTTTTCTTCAATTGTAGGACGATGACTGTTGAGAAGACTGAGTCAGCTACAAAGAGATAAGCTTCTTGGTAGACAGTAATGGTGGGCAGATTAGTGGCTGAGAAGACAGACAACTAAGCGAACCTTCTCTCTCTATAAATGTTGTCGAAGCTGCTACCTGCCTAAACCAGCCGAGCTGAGAGGTGTTAGTCTTCGTAAGCGGTGTGTGCGCGCGCTTGCCTCGCGAGATGGCCAAACCGAGCTTTCAGCGTCTGGGAACGTCCATTGACGTACCGAACGTCCAAGCTCTTGCAGCTTCCATCGCAAACCCGGCTGACGTCCCTCCTCGATACGTCAGGACGGAAGCCAAGGCTGATCCCGTCGTTAGCGACGGCGACAGCGAGCTTCCGGTCATCGATTTCTCCAGGCTCCTCCATCACCGTTTCTCTAAGGAAGAGTATGCTAAGCTCCACCATGCCTGTGCAGACTGGGGCTTCTTCCAGGTCAGTCGATCTACGCATCGAAACCGTGTGATCCATAGCTGCAACATAACAATCGTTGATGCTAACTAACAGTTGATAAATCACGGAGTTCCCGATCAAGTGATGGAGAAGATCAAGGCTGATATAGTAGAATTCTTTAAGCTTCCCTTGGAAGAGAAGAAGGCATTTGCGCAGTTGCCGAACAGCTTGGAAGGTTACGGCCAAGCCTTCGTCATGTCTGACGACCAAAAGCTGGACTGGGCGGACATGCTGTCCCTCATAACTCGACCACTGCACTCGAGGAACATCGATCTCTGGCCCGCTCAACCTCTCACTTTCAGGTTTATCTCGATTACTTGTGCTATCATCTACTCAGCGGTTCATCTACGTACGTACGTATATGACGTCCTTTGCTGCTGCTTCATGCCGTCAGAGACTCTCTCTCTTGCTACTCCATGGAGCTGAAGAGCGTGGCAGGAACTTTGCTGGAGGTGATGGCGAAGAATCTGGGGGTCGCACCGGAGGAGTTCTCTTCTATATTTCAGGACCAAACGCAGGCAGTGAGGTTCAACTATTATCCCCCATGTCCAAGAGCTGACGAGGTGTTGGGCCTCTCACCACACACGGACGGCAGCGGCTTGACGTTACTCCTACAGGTGAACGACGTTGAAGGACTCCATATCAGGAAGAGGGGGAATTGGTTCCCCGTGAAGCCACTCCCCGGCGCTCTCATCGCTAACATCGGTGATATCATCGAGGTCATTAACTCGACTTAATCTAGTCAGAATCAACATATATCAATCATATGCGACACTAATTCAATTCAAAAATAAATTATGTTTATAGATTACGAGATTCTCTCAATATTTACTAATGTAAAATTATTATTTTGATTTTTTTTTCAATCTCTTCTTACATATAAATATTTTCTAACAAAAACAAAAGATTTTTGGAATAGATATTGAGCAATGGTGTGTACAAAAGCGTCGAGCATCAGGCGATAATAAACGTCAAGGAAGAGCGTCTCTCGATTGCTACCTTCCATGGGCCAAGAGAATATTCGGCGGTGGTTGGTCCTCTTGCAGAGATCGTGAAGGGGTGCAATCCAAAATATGTGTCGATGAGCTATGGAGAGTTCATGAAAGCTTATTTATCCACAAAACTAGAAGGGAGGAGGCTCATGGAAAGCCTCAAGCTATAGAAGCTTCTAATGATAGAAAGTTTATGGTGTGTTGCTTGAACTTGATAATAAGTGTGTTTCGGTATCTTCTTTATAAGCATCAAATAAATATCTAGTGTGAATCTTTGTACGTTTAAAGTGAGTTGGCTTAGTGTTTGTTGTGTTATTCCGATTGGTTAATGTATTGTTGCATAAGTAATAAATCTGAATGTACATTATTTGATGTAATGATTTTTTTTATTTTTTTAGATAAGTAGATTCATAAATTATTTACTTTTTTCCCAAAAAAAAATGTTAATAATGAAGTATAAGCATAAGTTGGCTTGAGGCACTTAAACTGAGTGCAATTTGAGTCTACAAAGCAATAATAATAATTATTAGATGATCATCTTCACAGTAACGTGAATATACCAAAATAAAAACGTCGTTCATCTATCAACCATTGATTTATTATTGGGTTACGAAGTTGTATCATTGTGATTCCCACATTGATGAGCCTAGTAACTTACATGGTTAAGATCTTATGAGCTTCGTCAACGGTTGAAGTCGATACTCTCCTAAAATGATAAAAACCAAGGAGGAACTTGTTCTAAATATAGTTTTTGCTAAAGACATGACGGTCTACTACAATCGTCATATCCTTGGTTTCATATTAGGTTGTTCTCTTAATTTCTTTAGTAACATCATCTTCCATCAAAACTTGGTCTGAGCTTAAATAAAGCTCAACTTGAAAAACACTCTTGACTTCGACACTCTGAATTTCTTGTTGATAGAGATGACATTGTTATTAATTTATAGAGTCCTCCTACCGTACTCTCTCTCTTGTACTCAATCAAGAGAAGTGTGTAATTGATCCAAGTTGATGAATGACCAAACCCCTTGTACGATAAGAGATGGTCTTTGTCATCGAAGGCAAGAGAAGAGAGTGATTTTTTCATCCAATATGATAGAAGGATCCATGACAAATATGGATTTTCGAGAGATCCTCTCTCGAAAGCTTCCCTTGTGTGAGGTGATGGTTTCTCGTAATCATGAATCATGACATGTTAATCTTATCAACAAACATGAAATAAAATGTGAAGTAAATATTTGAAGGTAAAAATATATTACATTTTAATAGATAATATATTGATGATCAATCATTATTCGACATTTAATCAGACATCTAATCACCATATGGAGGTTAGTCTGATGGGAAAGGCCCATATCACCATTCGCTTGTTTGCACCCATTTGATAAGAGTCTAAGAGAGATCGATTGAGTTTGTCTCCCTCTTGTTGCCCATATGGACAAAATATAAAAGGAAATATTGGGACAATTAGAGGCTACCCTTTCAATGGGCTATATATAAAAGCTAACCCTAGCACAATGTCGGAGTCTCTCTTCCTTGAAAAAAAAAAAAAAACTCATATTCGTTAAATTCTCGACCATTAACTTGAGCATTATAGTGACCAAGTCAAAAAATTCTCTTTACATCAATCTTAATATAGATAATGCTCCGAAAGATAGACCCTCTACCTCGGAGTCCCATTGAACTTTTCTATGTCCTTAGTTCAAAACTAAAGGTCCATAATTCTACATTGCTAACTTAAAAAAAAAAACTTTTTACTATTGCATCATCATTTCCATTTATCTATTTTTGAGGCCATCGATATTATGGGATTTATTATTCATTTTATATTTATTATTTTTATTTTTTAATTATTTTCTTCAACAGAAAGAAAATACTAAAAATTCTCTTTTATATATATATATATATATATATATATATATATATATATATATATATATATTATCCTCATAATTATCCATCATAAAAGATAAAAAGAATTAGTAAAATGATGGATACTACGGGAAAGGTTCTTCTTTCGGCTAGTTGATACACTATATAAATAGTCGGCTAGTTGATACACTATATAAATAGTATTGCATGATCATTTTCTTTCATAGTTGATAAGGAACACTTGCATTAGTGTGACCTTGTTCTTTAAAAGTAACTATTTTTATGATTTCAATCATAATCTTCAACATGTAAAGGAATAATCTCATCCTCACAAATGATAAGAAATAAATAAATATCGGAGTAATTTTAACTGTTGAATTAAAATCAAACGATAAGAACAGTGACTTTGATAACAATATTCTAACATGGAATATAAATAAATAAATAGATATCGGGCGTCACATCTAATACACCAAACCGGGGCATGTCGGCCCGATACTTGTCAAAGGGCCGAGCCGAAAATACGGCCCAATTCATGAGAGGTCAAAAGATAACTAGGGTCGGATCAGGATCCGATCCAAAATTAGAGCGGGACTTATATATAAGGTCCGACCAAAATCCGATACCGGATCCATCATCGAGATCCGACATCAACCGAGCGTCAGATCGATGACGTCGTCCCCGCTGCACCAAACATCCTCTCTCTCTCTCTCTCTCTCTCTCTCTGACTAAATGCTTTGCTTGTGCAAATTCATCGTATATCATAGTCTAACATAGATATCCTTAATCTAGAGGGAGAATATAGTTTCGATCTGGGAACAGTTTTGACTTGAATTCATTGTTTTCTCAAGCAATGAAGATGTTACTTGGATTAAGATATCAGGGTTGCTGAACCTATACACATTTGCTCTGAAAGCTGTCGTTGAAATGTGTGGCATCGGCTCGTTCCTTCACATTTCTTGTGGTTTCGCTTAAGCAGCACGGTCAAACCTTGGAGTAAAACGCAAGGATTTCAACGCTGGCGGACCATCGGGGAGCGGCGACGCTGAGCTTAGAAACGAGCTTAACGCTTGTCTTCTTCCTGTTCAATTATGTCTTCCCCATGACCTCGATCTGGAGAAATGGGGTTTTGACTTCGATCCGAGACCCCAAACGCGCACGACCATGTGTCGAGAGGAGGGATTGGCGGAGAAGCTCTTGGAACCTTGCGTGCTCGGTGGCTCCTTGCGATGAGCTCTCGCTTTGCTCATTAAACACATGAACTTGCAACAACAGCATCTGGTTCTTCTCCTTGCTCTCATAAATCCAGTCTTGAGCAGGTTTTAGATGCTACGGATGCAAGCAAAATTTAGGAAGGGGAGTTCTGGATGCTCCTCAGGCGTTGCTTTGCCACCAATTGTGTGTGCTGCCGTCTTGTAAGTGTTGTTTGGCGTAAAACCAGCGCTGGACGCATGCAAAGGCAAGTGGTCCGAGTTGACCATATCGGCCGTCCCTAACGGCCCCTTCTTCGGGCGACAACAGCATCGCCTAGGCCGATGATAGTACTATCAAAGCCTCAATTTATGGTCTCATTACAATAGTAGTACCATCAGTACCTTAAAATTTTAAGAATTTAAATTTTTAGTTTCATTCTTGAAGTCTTTTGGAGTTTATAATATAATTTATAAATATTTTTATTTGATAGAGTACAAATTCTTAAGTATAAAAGTATTGTAAACTCTCTCTTAAAAAGTGTTAGAGTCTTTAAAAAGTGATTCTAAGTTATAAAAGATTGAGAAATCTTATAAAAGAGAGAGCGTAGCTTCTGGGAAAAAAAAATACTTTTAATTGATTACTATGTGAAGTGGACTCTCACGATGCTTTAACACAATTCTGCAAATAACACAGTTCTGTAAGGTATACTTATGGTTGTACCTCTTAAATCAATCAATGTTATCAGACAGATAAGTGCTCTGTTAATCCGCATCCACCACCGACACATTTGTGCCGTGATAACTACAATCGATTGCTGAAACTGTCATGTTTTGCTGCTTGTGTAGATCAATAACTGCAGAGCTATGTGAAGGAGAAATCCTTCTTGATCTTAGAAAGAGTAGCTCTTGCTGACCGGATCCGTCCTGCTATCCTTAGCTCCATGATTGCATTAAAAGACACATCTAAGTAATTGTGTCTCCTAATCTGACATCAGTCGTCCTTTGTGCCTTCTCGTTCCCTTCCCCTTCTCATCTTTTCAATGAGACACAGTCGATTTGCAGTATAAACAGATGAATGTGCAATTATTATTACTCCCAGCTGCTACCTTTTACTGTTAAAATAGCTACTAGGGTTAGATCATCGTACACCATTAGTATGTCTAGGGAACATGAACTTGTTGGAACATTGCATGATGTGATTGCTATACTATCCGCAAGAAAAGCATGCGTGTAGACTATTCTTAGATCATCGTGCATCAAACGTTGGATGCACGACTAAATAGCTCAGGGTCTCGGATCGCATCGATGTCCAATCTCATTCATGTTAGTCTGTCTTATTTGATTTAAAAACTAGACACATAATTCTTACAAAGATTATCCATTGATATGGTGAGATAAAATATATTTCTTCATGACACGGAATGCTTGATCAATAATTTGGTGCGTTTTCTGTAGCAAGCGTCGGGTAAATATTTAATAATAATAATAATAATTTTATTTGACCAAGTATCTCTCTTGGCCAATTTCCTTTGTTGCACGATACATCTGAGTGATAGGGTTAAAAAAAACTGATTTGACGTAACACCCCGGATTTGACGTAATGCACCCCCACGTCGGACACCCTATGCGGCCCACTGCCCCAAAACGAGCATTAACGACGACTCGACGCGCGACCACACCCACTGTACCCGAACAACCTCCTCGGCTGACCCCTTGTGGCCGGCCGAGGCAGGCGAAGGCGCTGACTGACACCCTCCATACCCTGCGGCAGCTCGGCCTTCCACGCAACGTCCACAACGATGACATACGCCGTCAGAGGTACGACCCTACCCCGGCAGTTTGGTGCACCAGGTAACATCAAACCCGCTTATAAATACCCCCTGGCTCCCAACGGGCAAGGGGATCTGCCCAAAGAAACACCTCTCCTTTATCGCTAACTTGATCGTCGGAGGGGTTGGGCCGAGCTACCGACCCGACCTGTGTGCAGGTGCCCGATCGTCGTTGGATCCCTTCGGCGCCGCAGAACTTTCCAAGCCAGCCCCCCTGCGTCAGCAACGTCTCGAGGGGAGCTGCGTCTGATCCCAGCCATTTGGAGCCCTGAACCAACCGCGTCGACCCCGAGGTCACGGCAAAAAAGTTACTTACCGTAACACTGAGAACCATCGATTCAACACATCCACCAATCCAAGGTCGGAGTACTGTGACAGCAATAGCATATATACATAATACAGAGAGAAGATATGGGAGTGTTGTCAACCACTAAGTGCAAATTTCTAAAGCAAGTGGGAAACAACACGAATACGATAAAACTTATACAACCATAAAATATTCCTGTAGAAGGCAACTATGTTCCTGTAGAAGGCAGCAGAAAGAAATTTCTTACACGAGGAGACTGTCTTAATATTTTGATACGTTGTCATCAGCTGATGCGACAGAGTCATGGCCTGTAATATTGGTTGGATCAGTACATTTCTTAGTAGCCATGCAGCGGAAAGACAAAGTCTCATTTTCCACTCATCCCTTTGTAGTTTGATATATGCTATTGGTACAAAAAGTTGACAGCAAATTACTACAATTTTTAAGTACATTGTAAAGTCAAAGTCTCACTTGCAACTCTATCTGCATATGCTACTGTTACAAAAAGGTCACAGCCAACTACTACAGTTTTCTTCAGGGTAGGACGATGGCTGATGGTAGTACCGTCAGAATTTTGATTTGTGACCCATTACGATAATAGTACTGTTAATACTCTAAAATTTTAAAAATTTAAACTTTTAATTTTATTCTTGAAATCTTTTAAGGTTTATAAATACTTCACTTATACTTACTCGATAGAGTATAAATTCTTAAGTATAAAAGTGTTATAAACTCTACTCTCTTTGAAAAATGTTTATCTTCTTTTTTCTTTAAGTTTAGAAGTGATTTTAAGCATTTAAAATGAGAAAAGCTACAATAAGGATAATTGATCTTCACTCATTAGAAAGAAGATCGATAGTGAAAGTCGATCACCTTGAAAGAAGAGGAATCGGAAACGTCGGAAAGACTAAACAACTATAAATCAATTTGCATCCATTCTCTTGCCTAGCGTGCCGTGTATGATTTTTCTTTGCTCTTCTTATACGTCATTCTTCCTATTGCAATCGAACAGCTGACTGTTTAATCATTATTACTCCCAGCTGCTACCTTTTACTGTTAATATAGCTAATAGGATTAGATCATCGTACACTATAGTGTGTCTAGGGTAGGGAAGATGAACTTGTTGGAATCTTGCACGATGATGATTTATGTGGTGTGTGATTGCTGTCCTATCCGCAAGAAAAGCATGTTTGCATCCAAGATTGGATGCACGACTTAACAGCTCAAGTTCTTGGAACGCACTGTTGTCCAATCTCATTTTTGTTAGTCTGTCTTATATGATTTAAAATCTAGACATACAATTCACACGAAGATTATCCATTCATATGGTGAGATAAAATATATTTCTTTTAACACGGAATGCTTATCAATAACTAGCTGCATTTTCTGTAGCAAGCGTCACCGACAAGAAGTCAGACACTTGAATTGATAGAAATGAGAGAGGAATTTTATTTGACCTACTATCTCTCTTGTCCAATGAGATTTCTGGGGTGACGCATGATGTCTTTTTTTTCTATTTTTTAATGTAAGTGAAGAAGATGAGAGTTTAATGCAGAATGAATTCTTGAGCGTCCAACCTTTGTTGCATGTTACATCTTAGAACCATCGATTCAACACATCCACCGATCCGTGGTCGGAGTACTGTGACAGCAATAGCATATATACATAATACGGAGATAAGATGTGGAGCTTTGTCAACCATAAGTGCAAATTTCTAAAGCGAGTGGGAAACAACACGAATACAATAAAACTTATACAACCATAAAATATTGGTTTCTGACGTGTGAGGAATAATTGAACTACTTTATAGGAGGACATTAAATGGTGGCCACTATGTTCCTCTAGAAGGTAGCAGAAAGAAATTTTTACACATGGAGACTGTCTTAATATTTTGATACGTTGTCATCAGCTGATGTGGCAGAGTCATGGCTTATAATATTGGTCGGATCAGTACATTTCTAAGTAAGCATGCAGCGGATAGACTAAGTCTCACTTTCCACTCATCCCTTTGTAGTTCGATATATGCTATTGGTACAAAAAGTTGACAGCAAATTACTACAATTTTTAAGTACATTGTAAAGTCAAAGTCTCACTTGCAACTCTATCTGCATATGCTACTGTTACAAAAAAAGTCACACTAACTACTACAGTTGTCTTTGGTAGGACGACGGTGATAGAAGATAAGATTTTTCCAACTTGATAAAGGATAAGATTTCCCAATTATATGAGGAAATCTCTCTATTCTGTTTATTCTGTTGAGGGAAATCCTTCCTCCTAATCTGTATAAATAGGAGAGGGAACATGTTAATAGATTCAAGCTAAAGCTATTTCATTTCTACAATAAAGCTTCTTCAATTATTGTTCTTGTCTTCTATTATTTCTATCATATGGCTGATGAGAGACTAAATCCACTACAAAGAGATAAGCTTTTTTGGTAGACAACAATGGTGGGCAGATTAGTGGCTGAGAAGCAAGACAACCAAGCGAAGCTTCTCTCTCTATAAATGTTGTCGAAGCTGCTACCTGACCAAACCAACCGAGCTGAGAGGTGTTAGTCTTCGTTAAGGGGTGTGTGTGTGCGCGCGCTTGCTTCGCGAGATGGCCAAATCGAGCTTTCAGCGTATGGGATCGTCCATTCACGTCCCGAGCGTCCAAGCTCTTGCAGCTTCCATCGCAAACCCGGCTGATGTCCCTCCTCGATTCGTCAGGCCGGAAGCCAAGGCTGATCCCGTCGCTAGCGACGGTGAAAGCGAGCTTCCGGTCATCGATTTCTCCAGGCTCCTCCATCACCGTTTCTCTCGGGAAGAGTCTGCTAAGCTCCACCACGCCTGTGCAGACTGGGGCTTCTTCCAGGTCAGTCGATCTACGGATCAAAACCGTGTGATCGATAGCTGCAACATAACAAATCGTTGATGCTAACTTACAGTTGATAAATCACGGAGTTCCCGATCAAGCGATGGAAAAGATGAAGGCCGATATAGCAGAATTCTTTAAGCTTCCCTTGGAAGAGAAGAAGGCATTTGCGCAGTTGCCGAACAGCTTGGAAGGTTACGGCCAAGCCTTCGTCGTGTCTGACGACCAAGAGCTGGACTGGGCGGACATGCTGTACCTCATAACTCGACCACTCCAGTCGAGGAACATCGATCTCTGGCCAGCACAACCTTTCACTTTCAGGTTTATCTCGATTTCTTGTGCTGTCATCTACTCAGCGGTTCAGCTACGTACTTATTACGTACATGACGTCCTTTGCTGCCGCTTCATGCCGTCAGAGACTCTCTCTCTTGCTACTCCATGGAGCTGAAGAGCGTGGCAGGAACTTTGCTGGAGGTGATGGCGAAGAATCTGGGGGTCGCACCGGAGGAGTTCTCTACTATATTTCAGGACCAACCGCAGGGAGTGAGGATCAACTATTATCCCCCATGTCCAAGGGCTGACGAGGTGTTGGGCCTCTCGCCACACACGGACGGCAGCGGCTTGACGTTGCTCCTACAGGTGAACGACGTTGAAGGACTCCATATCAGGAAGGGGGGGAATTGGTTCCCGGTGAAGCCACTCCCCGGCGCTCTCATCGCTAACATCGGTGATATCATCGAGGTCATTAACTCGACTCAAACTAGTCAAAATTAGCAATCAAGTGCGATACTAATTCAATTCAAAAAAAAGTTGTTTATCTCAATATTTACTAATGTAAAATTATTATTATTATTTTTTTAATCTTTTCTTACGTATAAATTATTTTCTAACAAAAACAAAAGACTTTCGGAATAGATATTGAGCAACGGTGTATACAAAAGCATCGAGCATCGGGCGATAATAAACGCCAAGGAAGAGCGCCTCTCGATCGCTACCTTCCATGGGCCAAGAGAAGATTCGGTGATTGGTCCTCTTGAGATCGTGAAGGGATACAAGCCGAAGTATGTTTCGATGAGCTACAAAGAGTTCATGAAAGCTTACTTCTCCACAAAACTGGAAGGGAGGAGACTTATGGAAAGCCTCAAGTTATAAAAGTCTCTAATGTTAGAAAGTTAATGGTGTGTTGCTTGAACTTAATAATAAGTGTGTTTCGGGATAATGCTATCTACTTTATCGAAGCATCAAATAAACACCTAGTGTTGTGTATATGAATCTTTGTATATTTAAAGTGTGTTGATTTCATATTAGGTTCTTCTCTTAATTTCTTTAGTAACTTCATCATCCATCAAAACTTGGTCTAAGCTATAAAAAAACTTAACATGAGAAACACTCTAACAAAAATAATTATTTGATGACTTTAACACTTATTGATAGAGATGAAATTGTTATTAATTTATAGATTCCTCATACCCCACACACACACTCTCTCTCTCTTGAGCTCAATCATTTCAAGAATGACCAAACTCCTATACGATAAGAAATGATCTAGTCATCTAGCATCGGATGTCAAGCCAAGAGAAGATAGAGATTTCTTTCATCCAACCACGACAAACATGGTTTTGCGAAAGATACTGTCTCAAAAACTTCCCTCGTGTGACGAGAGGTGATGGTTTCTCGTAATCATGAATCATGACATATTAGTCTCAGCAACAAACAAGAAATAAAATATGAAGTAAATATTTGATGGTAAAAATATATTATATTTTAATAAAAAAATATATTGATGATCAATCATTATTTGACACCTAATCACCATGTAAAGGATATTTAATCACCATGTGGAGATTGGTCCGATGGAAAAGGTTCATATCATTATTCATTTATCTGTCTCCATTGACAAAAGTCCAAGAGAAACCATTTGAGCTTGTCTTTCTCTTGTCGGGCATGTGGACAAAATATAAAAGAAGACATTGAGATAATTAAAGACTATCTCTTAGTAGATTAAGTATAAAAAGTAACCCCTAATATTATATTGAGGTCTCTCTTTCCGAAAAAAAAGTTCATATCCATTAAGTCCTCGATCATTAACTTAAGCATAAGAAGAATCAGATCGAAAAATTCTCTTGACATCAATCTTAGTGCAGGTAATACCCCAAGAGATTGACCCTCTATCTCAAAATTATATTGAAATTTCTTCAAAACCATTAAAGAGCCATCTTGGACTTTTTAATGTCCTTAAATTCAAAACTAAGGGTCCATAATTCTACATTACAACTTATAAAAAAAACTTAAAATACATTTAAAACATCGATTTGTACGATTGCACCATCACTTCCATCTATCTATTTTTAATACCATCGACATGATGGGATTTATTATTCATATTATATCCATTGTTTTTTTTTCTAATTATTTCTTCAATAAAACTAAAATACTAAATATTCTCTTATACGTATAATCCTCATAATTATCCATCATAAATTATAAAGGGAAGTAGGATAATGATGGATATGACGGGAAGGGTTCTTCTTTTGGCTAGTTGATACAATATATAAATAGTATTTTATGATCATTTTCTTTTGTAGTTGCTAAGGAACACTTTGAATAAGTGTTACCTTCATCTTCAAAAGAGACTATTTTTCTGATTTCAATCATAATCTTCAATCACAAATGATAAGAAATAAATAAACAAATACTGATTAATTTTAACTGTTGAATTAAAATCAAATGATAAGAACTGTCACTTTGATAACAATATTCTAACATAGAATATAAATAAATATATATCGGGCATAACATCCAATACACCAAACCCATCCAATAAAAGAGGGGGGCAAGTCGGCCCGAAACATGTCAAAGGGCCGAGCCGAAACTACAGCCCAATTCATGAGAGGTCAAACGATAACTAGGGTCGGATCTCAATCAGTAACAATGAGGATCCGATCCAAAATTAGAGCCGGACTTCCGACCAAAAACCGATACCGGATCCATCATCGAGATCCGATATCAACCGAGCGCCAGATCGATGACGTCGTCCCTGTTGCACCAAACTTCCTCTCTCTCTCTCTCTCTCTGACTAATTGCTTTGCTTGTGCAAATTCATCGTATATCGGAGTCTTAACATAGATATCCTTAATCTAGAGGGAGACTATAGTTTCGATCTGGGAACAGTTTTGACTTGAAATCATTGTTTTCTCAAGCAATGAAGATGTTACTTGGATTAAGAGATCAGGGTTGCTGAACTTATACACATTTGCTATGAAAGTTGTCGTTGAAATGTGTGGCATCAGCTCGTTCATTAACATTTCTTGTGGTTTCGCTTAAGCAGGACGGTCAAACCTTAGAGTAAAACGCAAGGATTTCAACGCTGGTGGACCATCGAGGAGCGGCGACGCTAAGCTTAGAAACGAGCTTAAAGCTTGTCTTCTTCCTGTTCAATTATGTCTTCCCCATGACCTCGATCTGGAGAAATGGGGTTTTGACTTCGATCCGAGACCCAAACACGCACGACCATGTGCCGAGAGGAGGGATTGGCGGAGAAGCTCTTGGAACCGCGCGTGCTCGGTGGCTCCTTGCGATGAGCTCTCGCTTTGCTCATTGAACACATGAACTTGCAACAACAGCATCCGGTTCTTCTCCTTGCTCAGGTTTTAGATGCTATGGATGCAAGCAAAATTTAGGAAGGGGAGTTCTGGATGCTCCTCCGGCGTTGCTTTGCCACCAATTGTGTGTGCTGCTGTCTTGTGAGTGTTGTTTGGTGTAAAGCCAGCGCTGGACGCATGCAAAGGCATGTGGTCCGAGTTGACCTCATCCTCCGGCACACGTGGAATGCTTACGTTGGATGCACGCTTCGCCCACACATGCGACTTCCCCCAAGGGCCTCAGCCAACTCCATTGGACTGTACCCGACGGACACCTGCCCTGTGGTTGGAGGCAACCATGTGGCCCCCAGATGAAACAACATTAAATGTCCCTTCTCCCGTGGATAGAATAAAAAAACGAAGCTGGTAAAACTTCATCACGTGCAAGTCATATGAGTCAGCACGAGGGAGCACGTGCATGATTCCGTCTCCCTCCTCGGGATCCCCGTACGCCTCGCGTGATTCAATGCCCTTCTTTTGGCAGATTCGAGATGCGTCGTTTATGAGAGGAGAGAGAGGGAGCCGAAGACACCCACAGGCACAGCTGGCCCCGCTGGCTCGTCAACGACGAGAGAGGCAGCGGGACCCAACAGCAAGCATCGCATGTGGGTACGCGACCGGGGGTCTGGCTCCTGTGTCTAGCCCGAGCACCCGGGCAGGGAAACACTGCCTTCTTATTGGTCAGCGCCTCATCTGTCGGCCGACAGGGTTCCACGTGGCAGTCGCCTGTTAGCCTCCTCTCACCGGAACGAGATGACTGGAGTCATTTACAGGGCGCATAGCTTCGGTTGACGCAATGCTTGCTTCCAAATTGTACAGGCGATCAGGTAAAACGATTCTTTCATCCTTCGTTCATCTCGGAACGCACAAGTGAATTGTCAGCGTACATTTGCGAATCATCCACTCTATTGAGATGTTGGGATTCGTTTCGGACGTGTACGGTTGCTCGATTATTATCCCTGGAGATTTCGTTAGCTTGTTGTACGCCTGAAGTCAGCAGAAAACAAGGAGGAGGCCGCAGGCGACCGGTAATTTAGACTGAAGGAGAACAGTAATAGGAAAAGTGACTGCGGATAAACTTCGATGTCATTTACTCATTAATGCAGCCAGCCGGGTGTAGAGTAATGATGTGTGAGCCCAGCAAGTAGCTCATAAAAAGACAGCATAATGACAGTTGGTTGGCGTTTCTGTGTTAACACGGTAAATAAATTTGGAACCTACGGCGAAGTGACATAAGAAGCTCCAAGAAAATTTTTCCTAGGGAGGTCCACGAAAAACATGGTGTGCAGTTTCCACCAGCGGCCTACTCTGACATGAGTGAGCCTACGAAAAAGCAAAAGTTACTCCCTCGCAGGCTCAAACGGGGAGAGCATCTGGGAGGAGATGATGAACCCGCCCTGGACCGATACCAGTGTCACGGTGCTCTTCTCTCTCTTCAATGTGAGGAGGACTGTACTGGTTCATCTCACGAGTCTGCTGATTGATCTCGCCCTGAGCAGTTCCCTCAGGAGAGGTAAACGCATCTATTAAACAATGGTTTTACTCACTGGGTGAGCATCGATCACGTCATACATGCACCGAAGTCACCGGGTAAGCTAGCAAGGGGGGGATGACGGTGAAAAAATATGCATTGGCCTCGAAATGGGTGAACTATATATTCCAGCTCTTGCGTACTCTAGATTCTAAAAGACGAGGCCGGATTAACATATGCCCCAATCACATGGGCGAAGGAAGGATGGATTTACGCGAGAGAGAGTTGAATGACGGACGAATGGCTTCAGAGGGAGGGGAGAGTGGTAGAATATAAAGAGAGCAGGGCGTGGGGGGGTGGGGGAGGGGGAGGGGTAAAGGATGAGGACTTGAGGATGGATCGGGTGCAGAGAGCACATGAGCCACGTTGGTGTCAATGTCTTCCATAATGCAAGTGCCTCGTCGCTTGTATAATGCGCTTGTTTCGTTTCCATCATCGCCACCAGCACCATCGTAGGAAGCGGAGCGGAAGCATCGTCCTTTCTTTGCATTAATGGCGTGGGAGTGGGAGAGGACGCTGGGTATGGAGTTGGGAATGGGGATGGGAGATACTTCCTCTACTACGTCAGCTGCTGTTGCGCAACCGGAAGGTGCTGCTGCTTCTCCAGCGTATCTATCTGGTGCTCCAGCCGCCGCTGACACCGTCCGCGTCGACGATGTCCTCGACTTCTCCGGTCACCACATCTTCCCCGACTTCGGCACCGCCGCCGCAACCGACGTCCAATTCTTCGCACCGACTAACCCCTTCTCTGCCGACGCAAGCCAGCCATTGCCTGCAGAAACGAACTCCTCGTCCGATTTCCAATGTCTCCAAGCTTCTTTCGACTTCTATATTCCGGTAATTAAGCACCGGTACAATTCCCCAAAGATGTTCGTTTCTCCCTTTGCCTAATGTTTGAGGTTGGGTTTATTTCTCCTTGGTTGCAGCGCGAAGAGGAAGCAGAGCTGGAATGGCTTTCGCAGTTTGTAGAGGACTCGTTCTCGGACGTCCCTTGCCAGTATACCAGCCTCGCCGCCCCCTCCGACGACAGCCACCCCCGCGTGGACCAATGCATCAGCAGTCGCGCTGCTAGAAGCAAGCGGTCCAGGACCAGCAACCCTTCCGCTGTTTGGTCCTCGTTAACACCGCCGCAGCAGCCATCGCCGTCTTCCTCATCCTCGTCCTCTGATCTCCCGTCTTCGCTACCAACTTCGATTGGTGCTAAGAGCATTAGCAGCAGCAGCAGTAGTGGTAGTAGAGGAAAGAAAAGTGGAGGAGGAGAGGGAGGAGGGGTGCGGCGGTGTACGCACTGCGCGTCAGAGAAGACGCCGCAGTGGCGGACGGGGCCGCTGGGGCCGAAGACGCTGTGCAACGCGTGCGGGGTGAGGTACAAGTCCGGGCGGCTCGTGCCGGAGTACCGGCCCGCGGCGAGCCCGACCTTCGTGCTCACCCAGCACTCCAACTCTCACCGCAAGGTCATGGAGCTCCGCCGCCAGAAGGAGTTCCTCTGCCTCCGCCACGAGAACCAACCGTCCCCTTCTTCCGCCGCCGCCGCCGCTGCAACGAGGCCGGAGCTCCTCCTCGATGACTACAGCGTCTGCTGACACCACAGCCCGCTGCCCCCGTCTCCGCTGTTGCTGCTTCTTTAGAATCTTTCGTCTAAAAATCAAGACTGCGTTCATCGAACGGTTGGAATTCTACTGGCACGGCACGTGATGCTAGCTGGAAGATATGTATGATACTGGTAGGAGGGCACAGACGAGGGCTACGGGTTGTAACATGTAACTTGTATTGCAACTACTTTCAACGTTGTGATGATTGCTTTTTGGATGAATGAATAAAAGTTATCATTCAGATTACTAAGTCCAACTCCGAAACTATTCCATAACTATTTCCCATCACCATAGTATTAGGGAAAGACTGACAATTACAGATGCAGTAAGATCTCCTTAGGACTACCCAAAAAAAATTCATCTCCATGAGTTGAACATGTAGATTATTAATGTTGGTTTGTGATATATTATATAAACGTAGACCATGTGATGCGTTAATTCATTATGGGATAAAAAAGTTGGAATATTTAGGTTTTAGAGGTTAAAAGAAGGGCCCAGTGTAGCATATTTAGGACATAGATGATGGTGGAGGTAGAACCTGCCGACACACGCTCTATGCCACTACAACCAAACCTTAATGAGTTAGATCCCACTTATATTTAAGATGGGGTCATCGGAAAAGTATGTTGGACTTGAGTTTAGGGTGCGTGTTGGTAGGTTTTGCCGACATGTCTAACATGACATCTTGTACCACATAGAGAGGAAACTAAATTTTTATTTTTATTAGAATAGATTTTGATTATCCGAATTGATTTGCATCTAATCTATTTTTTTTCCCCAGTCAACCTAAAAATGAAGTTTGTTAAGTGAAATGAAGTTTGTGGAGCGGTATCCTAAGTCTTATAAAATTACATAAGAGGTACTTTCAATAATGTCCCTTCAAAACTTAAGCCAATCAAAAAATTGAACAAATCAAACTTAGGCCATTCAGTATGTTGAACCGTTCTCGATACTCCTAGTATAGTAAGGATTAAGAACAATTATGCTTGATCATTATGTAGTTCATGGAGACATGGAGTCTGGCTATAACTATTATTAGCTTATGCTAAACTTAAGATTATACTATCCTTCTCCACATGGCATTCATCGGGTATAGTTATTTAGCTTCACTTTATAAACAATCAATGTGATGCTGAATAATCAGCTAACTGGCTCTAACATGTCGACCAGCCAAGTGGCTATAATATGTCAATCAAGTGAAATCTAATGGTCGATTGTGTGAAGCTGTGTGTCTTCCACATGTCTTCGATGTGTCAACCACATGAAGCCCACTCATCAATTTCGTCAAACTAATATACCCTCCACAAGGTATTAACGTGTAGAGGGTATATTAACCTGACGTGCCCTCTATATGGCATCAACAAATTGATCGTGTGGAGTCATCTCGTCCACCATATGGCTTCGTCGAATCGAACAGATGGCCCGGCAACTCGATCCCATGCAGTTGAGTTGTTGAGATGGTGTGGACGCATCACCTGCGTCATTATTCTCGTAACACCTTAAAAAGAGAGGTCTCGAGAGTTCAAGATTTGTATGTACATTAATTAACACAGATATTGGTTAGTGGACAATCTACCAAAACCAACTTCTCAATAAATTGTTTTTTTAATACCTGACAGAAAGCTAACGAAACTCACATTCTGAGTTGAGCCGCACATAAGAGGTATAAGATCTCAATTGAGATGACAAGGCTCTGTCCCCATCCTAAGCCTATGACTCCTATGAGATTGGTTCCCAACAGGATTTTGTAGGTGTAGATGGACTTCAGCGACTAGACAACCTAGTGGAGCAGGTTTCTTGATGAAGGGCTGTCTCATATGGTAAAGCTCCCTACAGTCCACCTATGATTGTCTTGAAAAGAAAAATACTAGGAGGATCAAAGGACTAGCATACAGTACAATTCGTAAAGTTTTCTTTTTTTCGAAGTACAATTCGTAAAGTTCAATCTCATGAAAGTGCATGCAATATGCCAAGCAGCAATTTCAGTACATGGCCTGTGATAAAGTACGCAAAATGGGAAACCAAAATTGATCGTGCCTATAGCATTTAGTATTACTCAGCAGGTGGAATCACTGTGAACATATGCGAGGAAGTGAAATATGCATATAAGAATGAAAAATATGACCATGTCAGTCATGAAAGAATATGTTAAGTTGAGAGTAATTATAACAAAGGTGAAATCTGGATTACTGTGAGTCATGATGACAAAGGTGAGACTAAATATAAAAAACAAATATGGCCATGTCAGTCATGAAAGTCAAGTTTCACTTGTATGGGTTGTTGACAAATAATGTAATCAAGTAATCTTTGTTAAGAATATGCTAAGTTCCACTGAGGACTTCTAATCAAGACTTCCATTTATATGAGAGTGCAAGACTGATGAACTGACCAAGCATTAAATTATTGTGAGTATATACATTCAAAGAATGAAGTGTAAATATACAAATTCAACCAGGCAAATTTTCTCAACAAAGTTGAAGAAAGGATGCAGGTACTTACCACACCAACCTGGCATAGTACAGCACCATGGTATATTGTGTGATGTCAATCCATGCCAGTACATATTGCTTGTTGTGTTAGGGCAAATGTCTTCAAGCCTGCCCAATTTAAAGTCACATAAATGTTAAGGTAGTCCATAAAAAGTTGAATCACAAGTAATGCTTCAAATAAGATGCAAAGGTAGATTTTAACCATTTCTAAAGTAGCAGTAAAGAAGTATTCCAATATCTAGATTTAATAGTTTCTTTAATGCTTAACATAAGTCTTTTTGTAAATTATCATTCAAAACAATGGTACTAGCTCTTGTTTGAGTCTATGATACCACACATTTCAGTTCATCTACATATGTTAAGAGGAATTAAATTTGTTGGCCTCAGTGGAACAAAGTGAGAACCAATTGTAGGAAAAAACAGCATCTTCTCTTTTTTTTCTTTTTGAAAAAGCAGCATCTTAGAAACAAAAGAAAGGAAGATATGATTCTGAGGTAGGATACACAGCAGACACACCATTGCTTCTAAAGAACCATGGCTTTATAGGAGTTGCAATATCATTCTCAAATAATGCCCAGGCAAATCCAAAAACTTTAACCTTCAGTCCTAATGAAAGGAGTTGAAGCATATCCTATACCATTTGTCGCAGACTTAGCTTTTTAAAAGCTATGACATTCGACGTTCATTTGCCTTAGTCCTATATAAAGAAACCAGCCGAACTCACAAGGTCACAGTTGCAAGGCTAAGTACCTTTGTTATTGCATTATAACAATTTGGAAACAATAAGCAATGGCACACAGGCTATGCATACAAATTGGAAGTTTTACTAGGTAAATGAAAATTTTACAACTCGATATAGTCACCTACAGTCTATGCTATTTGATTACTGTAGCAAGTCCAAATTACAGCAACAAGCCTAATATTAACTAGGATTTGATATTCATCCAGATTAACCAAAGCAACTTCTAAACGGCATTCAAGATTTCATCTCTTTCTGACTCTTATCCAAGTAAGAAAGGCCGCCTTGAATGTTTAAATCAACCTACTAAAAGATTATCAAAATTAAACATCCAGCACTTTGTTTCAGAAAATGTCATATACTGGAAATTCTTGGTATGTTCTCTTCTGACACTATATCTATGAATGTAAAATTCACCGAGCACTATCACACAACACATCTGAATGTGGTTTTATTAGTTAGGAGAGAATAAATTGTACTAGTTTAACATTCTTGAAGACCAACAAAATAACATCCATGAGCATTAACAATAACAATGAATCTCTAAAGAACATGACATAACCAAAAAATTTCTATCTGCAACATGATGATAGCTTAGGTGTAAACACTTGATGCCAGAGCACAAGAAGTCCTCCACATCATCCTGAGGAAAAGGCTGAGAAAGCTAATCAATTATGCTTCTCTCTGATAAGACACCTTCTCCTACATCAAAAAAGAAAGACACTAACAAACAACAATAGGGGGGAAAATGTGCATTTTGCAAAAGTTTAAGTTTTCTCACATGCAATTTTGTGATCACCATGCTTTATTAATGGGAACCAAATAATGCAATGAAGTTGAACAAAAGCTCATCGGAATTGGACAGTTTGATAATCCTTTTGAGATTTAATCTCAATATGTATTGAGTGAACTGATTTAAATTTACTCAATGTCAACAACTATGTTTACCTTTTGCTTGAGAGAACCAGGATAAATGATCAAATTTGGTTTTTACGAAAAAATAGTTATGATATTGCTTCAGAAATACAAAAACAGAAAGAAGCCTCCCAATACTATGACCTCAAATCAACAATATCAGGTGTGCATTCTTAAGACTTTCACGGACTGCACCATAGGAAAAAAAAAAGAATGTAAAACACAAAAATACATATTAAAATTTCATATATAGATCCATGAAAATGACAACTTACCTTTTGGGATACTTGTAACCCACATATTTTACTGTAATTATGATAATTGATTCAAGAAAAAAACCTAGCGAAAGGCTTTCCTATTTTGAAACAAACTCATGAGTTACCACAAAATAGGATCCTCCCCAGAATTCTAATTCCAATGGAAATACCAATTGCTTAACCTTGGTAAAAGACCATCCTCGAGTATTGATTTTGAATATTCTATAAACATGACACTTCAAAGAAAATTTGTTATGAAAATACATCACAAACCTTTTTTTTCCACGATTGGAAGCTAAACAAGGAGTCTCTAGTCTACCTCAATCGCATGATGCCTTCAGTGCAAAAGGCAAAAAAAGCAAAATGCGTCAATAAAATGTGTTCCCACAAAAAGAAAACAAGAATCTTGTCAAGAAAGCATAATAAATTTGTTGTAATCACAGTGTACATGCGTTGCATGCGTCATTCACAAATCATATTGACACGTTGGAAAGATCAGCAATTCTAGCTTCCATAACTGTGTTAAACTGTAAAGAACATACAACCTGATACTTATAATTTATAAAACACTCAGCTGGCCATAGAAGCACTTACGTATGGTTATGCAGATAGAAGAGCTTTAACAGAGATGGCAGAAGTTCATCATGATGATTGCCAATGGTGCATCTTTTGGTCAGGTGCATGTGGTGGACAAAGAGTTAGCAGGTTGTGTGATGTTTGCTGAGATGTTGTAGCCTATATATGGAGGATCCAGGAATTTAGAATTAACAATTAAAAGAAGGAAAAATTACAAATACTTGTACTGTGCATATTTTGAGCGTTCACAAATTAGTGACAAGTTTTCAAAAAAAGTACCCAAACAGAAAGAATTTAAAACATATCAAAAAAGTAGAGAAATTAAAATCTTCCGAAAAAGAATTGTCATGTGCCAATGCAAATCGAAGATCGTTACGATTGGGCATCTATCAATCTTACAATGCGTTCATTGCAGTTTCAGCTATACTTTCTTAACGTTCACGATTTCATCGAACTTAGTCAGACGGAGCAGGACAGGTGCATTCTAATGCAATAAGACGACCAGATGCGGCAACCCAGCAAGAAATCCTCGAATACCTCACTGGAACAACATTGAGATTAACGCTTAATCTCAGATCAAGAAACCTTGCAATCAAAGGCGTGTCACCTTACCATCAACTTCCCAGAGACCATCTCTTCGGGGAGCACCGATCATCCAGACTCTCCATCATACCTGCACAAGTATTGTAGAAACTGATGGGTAAAAATGAGAGAAAGCAAGCTGGAAGAAGATCAGGGTTTGGGATCGGAACCAACAGCGGCATTGGGAGGAACCGCTGAAGACGGAAGCAGAGACCACAGCGGCTTCACCAAGGGTCCGGATCCGGGCCGAGTACTGATTGGCGGTGCGCCCGAGACGGCTTCCTCCTCATCGGCGGAGCCCAGGCGGAGGCGGGTGAGGGCGTGCATGTCCGCTTCTGTTCGATCGGCGAAACATCTTTGGGTTCCGTCCCATGTATCCCGCCGAGCGATGGTTAATGGGCATCGTTGTCAGGGGTGATTCGACCCTGAGACCATATGCGGTGGCATCACTGAATGCGCCATTGACATAAATGAGGACAATAATTATAATTCATGATTGATGGGAGATAAGGAGGTGAATTGGACTCAAATATTTTGATTCATATATCAAATATCCCCATTTATTAATATTGAATGTTACTAGGAATATTCTTCTTGAAATGCTTGTGAACTTTTATTTTTTTTTATACTATTATGTATTCATGGCATTCATTTTATTGGTTTTGGGAAGTAATATATAGTCTTTTTCCTAAAAAAATTATTTTATTAAGTATATTGGAAATCATATTAATAGAGTCTACTTAAGCACAACTCTCCAACTCTTAAGAATATATACATTTTCTTTTTTTGTTTCTTCCATCATTTTGTCATTTCAAAATGTCGCGACCAATAAAATATAAGAAAATAATTAATCAAAATAGATTTAGTATAAGAAGAAAAATTCAAATCTCGAGAATAAAAGAAATTTCTTGTGTTAACAAAGATATAACATGATAAAATCCTCTGGTCACTAATTTTGTAAGTTGATTTTTTGTCTTTTTAAATTGACTATGTTAATACTAATAAATATATAAACGAAAAAGATAAAATGAACATCAAATTGATATTAGGAAGATTTGGTTAAGTATGTTAAAATTTGTCTTTTACATATTTACATGTATAGAGTTATATTAGTCTTCTGAGAGTTAAGACTTTTAGTTTGTGTATAAGTTGTTAACCATCAAGTATTCATTTTTAGGATTTAATCTATATAGTATTTGAGTTTTTTTTTATTTGAAGAGAAAAAAAAAATATATATTACTTCAAAAGTCTGACTCAACATGTAAAATTTGGTTAAGTTGTTTTTTTCCATTAAAAATAATCTGAGAAGATATATCAGTATTTAATTTAAATCATTCATGTAGTAACTTCCAAATTTGAATATTTAATCAAACTATCGATGTTCATGACATGAAGCACAAATATCCTCAATAAAATCCTTAGTGAAATAACATATGTTGCATGAATATGATAGTGTTATATATATATATATATATATATAAGAAGAACTAAAGCTTGGACCTTGAATCATTTGAGTCGTACTTCTATAAACCATTGGGTGAAAGAAAAGGATGCAATGATCTCCTTAGTGTAGGAGTATTTATTGGAAAATGACCAGAGGCTCAACAGCATCTGAGCATTCACTAGAAGGAGAGGGGGGGGGGGGTTATTGTCATTAGCATGAGAGAGGAACTATCCTATTCTAACTCGATAAAGAATATATATATATATATATATATATATATATATATATATATATTTATTTATTTATTTATTTGATTCAACAAGACAAATAATATGTATAAAGCCGATTTCATTGTAAAATATAGTAGGAGTACGATAATAAAACATGATGGATTATAGCATATCTAAATCTCATTTATCATCATTAGGAGGTCCTTATAATTTAATATGAGAATATCTAATACATATAACAAAAACATAAGTTTTTGGGAGATATTTAAGAAAAATAAAATAAAATCATAAGTAAACTATATTTGAATATCCTTCGACCGAGCTTTTAGATACTTTCACTTATGGACAAATTAATATTTACATTATGATTGGATTATGCTAGCAAAAAATACACTATTATGTATCATACCCAATAGATCAAACTTTCAGACCCAATTTGTCAAATTCGTTAGAGTCTTAGATATCAATTTTTTGTATATTTGAGTCTATTTAACCCACTTAGATTATGTCATACTCATACTCGATGGTAGATAGTAACTCCTATTTTTTTTCTTGCGTAAGTTCTTGATAACATCATTAGAACGCTTTGAATATGCCTCAATTATGATATATATATATATATATGTATATATATTATTTTGCTGAGCAATTATATATATATATAAATATAAATATATATATAAAACGTGGCTTGATATATATAATTGATTCATAAGTTCTCCGTGAATGAACAATAGGAAGCCTCTTAAAAAGCGAAGGTCACCGACACCCAAGGGACACCGGAGTGAGCATATCTCGTTTGGCATTTTATATCCCACCCCATCCCCATTAAAAGGGAGGTCGTCGCGAAACCTCTGATTCTCCGACTCTTGGAAGCCAAAAGCCATCTCCCCGTATTTCCATCACCGAACACCCGACGCTCTCGCCTCTCTCGCTCTCTCCTCCCTTTGTCTCCCGACTCGAAACCCTCGCCCTTCTCGCCATCTCGAGCGGGGCAGAAACCCTAGTCCGGTTCCGCTGCCGTCGCCGCCTCCGCCGCGATGCTTCCCTTCTCTTCCACCGTCGCTGGAGAGATCCGGCTTCTGCTGCAGAGCGTGAACGACTCCAACTTCGATTCGATCTATCGCGAGCTCTGCCAGGTTCGAGAAACTCCGATCTTTCTAATTTCTTACGATTATGTTGTTGCGCGCGTTGGTTTCTTCGTCCTGCCCGAGATGGTATTTGGTGAATAGCATCCTCCTTCCCTTCCAATGTGTCCGTAGCGAACTGATCGGAAGTCAGGCTGCATGCTCGTGCTTCATGGTTGTATATTAGCCCTCTTTCGCCTTTGATGGGCGGAGTGTACTGTGTTGCATGAAAACCCTAGCCTGGTGTTCTTTTTTTTTTTACTTCTCTGATATATTTTTCCTCGACGTGCCTCTTTGCTTTTGTGCTGCGAGGGTTTCCCTAATTCAGAACAGTTCGGATGGTTGTGTCAATCCGGTACTTGGGGGTTGTACGTGGTGAGGGAAAGTTACCTCCGGAAAAACAAATATCGATTGAACCTAATATTTACCCAATGGATACACTCTGATCATGGTAGGACTTCATTTGTGCCGATTTGGCACTTGTTGGTAACTACATTTTGAATTAGGAGAGCTTGGGGAAATGATCGCGATTATGTTTACGGCAAAAACAATCTTCTTCTGTGATGCTTCTGGTTGTTGTGGTATTCAACTTCCTATTTTATGTGCAATATGTACGAAGCCTCTATGAAGTTCTTGATCATGTGTACTAAAATGAATTGAAATTGATGGAAAACTTGCCTTTGCATGCAGTTGTATGTTTTAGTTATTTTGTGTTTATCAACATATAGCGTGAAACAAGTAGTACTTTGCTCAAAGTTTTAGGTTTTGTTTGTCAATGTGCATTGTTGTGCGGTTAACTTTATTTCTGGCAGATGCCTCCTTTTAGCCTGGAATCTGATAGTATGCCTGTTCATACAATGACATTCCAATTTCAATGTTTTTTATTGGCACTGTTTGCTCATGCATTGTTATCAATCTGTCTTTACAGTTTGTCGATTACGGAAGTGAAGTCAGCACTTTGTTGCTCCGGAGATGTTTGGATCAAATAATAGTTAAAGATGGGGAGACTTCACAACTGAAACGGGATCTTGTAACTGCAGTTGTAAGATATTTGCTGGACAGACCAAATTTTAGCACAAATCTTTGTGAAGCTTTGGATGGTATGCCAATAAGTGAAGGGTTCTTAGGAGATATTTCAAACACATTAGGTTTTTCAGTAACTGAGAAAATTGGTATTGGACTTGCTTTGTCGGATTGTGAAAATCCTGATCTGAGGATGAGAGGTAAGTTTGGTAATAACATTGGTTATGCTATTCTTTCTATTTTATTCCAGCAATGTTGTTTGTCTCCATTCTTGGTGTTTCAACTGCTTTCATGTTTTCTAGGGCAAAATTTTTGCATTGCTCAGATTGAGGAATTGTGTGCAAATCCTTCGTCAATTTTAAATAGTGATCAAATTCAGGATATTGTTATGTTCCTCTATCGAACTGAAGGCCTTTCAAAGCACATGGATTCTTTTACCAAAATTTTATCTCTGCTCCAATTGAAAGGGTGCTCTTTCTTCTTATCAGCCCCATTGCTGACAAATGATATCAATGCAGCTAACAATTTGAGGTGGTTATGAATAGGTCTAGTGAAGTCTGTATTCATGCCTACTCCTTGTGACTCAAATTTCTTGTTATTCATTCATACTTTCTTTTTATCTCTTTACAGGCATTTGGATCTATTTTCTGGATGCTCTGATAATGATTTTGATGCTGTATTAGCTGAAATTGAAAAGGAAATGAGCATGGCTGACATAGTGACAGAATTGGGGTATGGATGCACAGCTGACGCTTTGCATTGTAAAGAGATACTATCTCAATTTCAACCACTCAATGAAGTTACAGTTTCTAAGTTAATAGGCACAATTGTCCGGACTCATAGTGGTCTTGAGGATCCTCTCAACATTCATGCAACATTTTGTTCAGCTCTTGGTAGCAGCTTAACTAGTGATTCTTCATCATTGAACTCATGGGATTTTAATGTCCTTGTTGACACGATTAAGCAACTTGTGAGCCTAAATCTCTCTGTCTCTGTCTCTCTCTCTCTCTCTCTCTCTCTCTCTCTTCTTCCTCCTCTCCCTCTCTCTCTCTCTCTCTCTCTCTATTTCAGCTTAGGTTGTTATGCAGTAAGGCTAATAAAAAATTAGTAGGTAGTAATAAATATTTACCTCATAATTCAACTTATATGCAGGCTCCAAAGACAAATTGGGTGCTTGTCATGGAAAAACTTGACCATGAGGGTTTTCTACTTCCTGATGAAACTGCATTTTCACATCTAATGTCCATTTACAGGAGTGCGTGCCAGGTATTCTTAGGTTTGTGTATTTAAAACAGTTGCTTTTGATAGTATACTAACCCTTAAGTGTATTGCTCAGGATCCTTTTCCTCTCCATGCTATTTGTGGCTCTGTCTGGAAGAATGCAGAAGGCCAACTTTCTCTTTTGAGATATGCAGTGTCAGCCCCAACTGATGTGTTCACATTTGCGCATTGTTCAAGACAACTGGTATTCCTTAATAGATACTGTTGTTTTATATTTGCAACTTAAATTGCTGCTGCATAATTGATGTGTT